AATGAGACGTAACAATGTTGATGTCAGATGGATCTTGGCTGAAAGCAGAGAATACCAGAAAGATGTTTACATGTACTTTACCGACTAAACAAAAACTTTCGACTATGTGGATCATGACAAACTATGGTTTGAGAGGAATAGTTATTCTAGAACTCTTAATTGTGCTCATGAGGAACCTGTACATAGATAGACCAAGAGGCAGTTGTTCGAACAGAACAAGATGATGCTAAACGGTTTTAAATTAGGAAAGGTGTGCACCAGGCTTGTATTCTTTCAGCATATTTATTCAACCTGTATGCTGAGCAAATAATGGAAGCAGCTGGATTACCTGAAGAAGAACATGGCATCAGAATTGGAAGAAGACTCATTAACAACCTTCAATATGCAGATGACACAACCTTGCTAGCTGAAAGCAAAGAGGACTTAAAACATTTACTGATGAAGATCAAAGACCACAGACTTCAGTATGGGTTGCACCTCAATGTAAAAAAAAACCAAAAATCCTCACCACTGAACCAATAAATAACACTGTGATAAATGGAGAAAAGATTGAAGTTGGCAAGGACTTCATTCTTCTTGGATCAACTATCAGCACTTATGGAAGCATCAGTCAAGAAATCAAATGATGTATTGCATTAGGCAAATCTGCTGCACAAGAGCTCTTCAAAGTGTTAAGGAGCAAAGATGTCAGTATTAGGACTAAGATGTACCTGACCCAAGCCATGGTACTTTCAATAACCTCATATGCATGTGAAAGCTGGACGGTGAATAAGGAAGATCATAGAAGAACTGATGCATTTGAGTTGTGGTGTTGGAGAAAAATATTACAAGTGCCTATGGACTGTCAGAAAAACAAACCTGTGTTGGAAGAAGTACATCCAGAATGTTCCTTAGAAGCCAGGATGGTGAGACTTGGTCTCTCATACTTCGGACATATTATCAGGCAGTACCAGTCCCTAGAGAAGGACATCACGCTTGTTAAAGTAGTGGATCAGCAAAAACCAGAAAGGCCATAATAAGATGGATTGGCTCAGTGGCAGTAATGATGGGCTCAAGTGTGGCAACAATTGTGAGGATGTTGCCAGACCTGGCAGTGTTTCATTTGGTTGTGCATAGGATCGTATGAGTTGGAACCATCTTGGCAACAACCAACAGGGATTCCAATTCAGCAAATGTTTTGTAATGTTTTCTGTAATACCATAACAGGAGCCCTGTTGGTGCTGTGGTTAAGCACTCTGCTGCAAAAACAAAAGGTCGGTAGTTCAAACCCACCAACTTCACATGAGAAAGATATGGTAGTCTGTTTCCACAAAGATTTACAGTCTTGTGAATCCTATGGGGGCAGTTCTAATCTATCCTTTAGGGTTGCTATGTGTCTGAATCAACCCCAAGACCACGAGTTTGGGTGGTGTTAAGAACATCACACTTACTCTCATCATTCCCAGAGGTACCTTGTCTTCAGAAATGGACCCTGTTAGAATGGATCTTTCAATTTTTTTTTCTTTGAAATGTGAGAATTCACACTAAGAAACAAAGGAATGTAACGTGAAATGACAATCTCAAAAGACAAATTTGTGTGAAATGGAGATAAAATGCAGCAAAGTAGTGATGTCTGAACCAGAGATGCTCCGGACACAAACCCAGAATCTGGTCATAGAGAAATGAAGGGAATTGGAAAGAAGATGCACATGGAGTGGGCCATTCACAAATGATGAGGAATTGCAATACATCAACGTACAATCATTAAACAACTGAAAGGAAGGCTTTTCTACAAAAGTTGGGATGAGAAGTAGAAAGCATGATGAATTACAAAGACAGAAAGCGAAGAGCTCTATTTCAGCTCCTCCCTCCAAAAGACTATAGAAGCTGAGAAATTAACTATCCCTCAATTTCCAACGTCATAAAAATTCAAACATAGTGAAAAAGACTGTAACACATTCATTGTCTGAAGACATTAGGATTCTGATCATGAAATCAGCTAAAAATACAGCGCCGGAAGAAGAGATTTTTACATGAATCTCAAAAATACAGCTCTAAGAATCTGAAAATATGAAGAAATGAAATGCAGCAACAACATTTAAGAATAAAGCTGCAAGCATAATTTAAAAGTTGTTCATATCATGGATAGATCAAATAAGAAAAAAAGCAACCATTTCAATGAGATATTGCTAAGATTTCACAGTCGTTCCTGAAATGAGAAAACAAAATGCTTCCTCAACACAATAAGTGAATCTTTACTTCCTTTGTAAATATCAAGGCTTTTTATGGTGTTAAATGCTTTCAAGTCAGTTCTGACTCATAGTGACTCTATATAGGGTTTCCAAGGAGCAAGCTGGTGGGTCTGAACCACTGGCCTTGAGTTTTGCAGTCCAGTGCGTATCATACATCATCACACCACGACTCTAGAATATAAGGCGTGGTGATGGTGGTATGCTGTAGAGTCGGGTCCTACTCATAGCCACCCTATATGGGGTTTCCGAGGCTATAAATCTTTACGGGAGCAGAAAGCCTCAACTTTCTCCCACGGAACGGCTGGTAGTTTTGAACTGCTGATGAGGTTAGCAGCTCAACTCGTAACCACTTCATTACCAGAGTTCCTTAGAATATAAGGCAGTAATATTAAATAACGTAGTATAGGTACAGGAGCTCTGGTAGCATAGTGATTATGAATCGGGCTGCAAACCTTAAGGTCAGCAGTTCAAAACTACCAGCTGTTCCGCAGGAGAAAGATGAGGCTTTCTGCTCCTGTAATGATTTACAGCCTCGGAAACCCTGTACAGGGTCGCTATGAGTTGGAACTGACTCCACGGCCCATAACAACAAAGTATAGGTACAGGAGTAGGAAGCGTGGTGACTTCACAGGATAAGCACTGGAATGCAAACTACAAGGTTGGCAGTTTGAGCCCACCAGCAACTCCATGGGAGAAAGGTGAAGCTTTCTGCTTCCCCTAAGATTTAAAACCTTGGAAATACGGCCTCACTCTGTCAGAATGAACTCAATAGTACCTAACAACAATAAGGCACAGGAATCAACAAACCAGTAAGTGAAACAAAATAGGTGATAATAGAAGCCAAATACCCTTTTTGAGGGAATTTAGTGTATGCAAGAGATAAGTGTCCAAATTATGAGAAAATGGGTATTTCAAGAAAAAAAATCAAGATAATTGGCTATCCACTGAAAGAAAACGAAGTAAAGGTCCTACTTTATATCCCCTTCCCTAAATAAATTCTAGGTAGCTTAATGAGTTGAAAATGCAAACAAGACCATAGAAGGATTAGAAGAAAATGCAGGAAAGTAGGTTTAGAACCTTGGTCCATGAAAGAACTTCTGAAACATGACATAAAATGAAGGGCCAGGTAGGCACTGGTTGGTAAATTTGATCTCACCAAAATTTAACAACATTTGTCGCATGACCCTCAAGATAGAACAGAGCTCAACAACAGGCAAAAGACTGGGAGAAAGCAACAGAAAAATATATATAGCAAGGGAACATCACCCAAATTATATAAGTAACTACAAATCAAAAATAAAATTCAATAGCTGAATAGAGGAGTCTGTGAGGAGCACGTGTGGGTAATTTGTCAAAGAGGAAGTTAAACAAGGTGTCAATTCTTTTGGCAAAAAGAGAAAGGGTTAATGATAAGCCTAGGTAGGATTGTGGGAAATGAGTATTTTCCTTCCCTGTTGATGGGGAAGTAAATTGGAACAGCTACTTTACAGAACAGTTAGCAGTCTTTATTAGAATAATGTCTACACCCAATGTGTTGTTTTGAAATTTGACCAAATCAACAAGAATCAGTGCTAGAGGAGAAGGATTTTAAGGTGGCTTTTTTTTCCCCAGAAGTGGCATTGTTGAACACTTAAAAATAGAAAGAATGGTACCAGATCTCATTCACAACACTTAACAGATAACATGCAATTTGTGGAAGTATATTTAGAATGACTGATTTAGAGAAGATTTTGCTTGGTAATATAAAAGCAATATTGAATTAAAATAGAGACATTCAGGGAAAAGGATATATTGTAAAGATGCCCCTAGTCCTGGGCCTCCCATCTGTACACTGATCTGACCCCAGAGTTCTATCTGAAGGTTCATTTCGCTTTGCCCGCCTTCATTTTCCCCTAACCCCGAAATAAAGCCATATTATGAAATTGTTGTTGTTGTTGTTGTTATGTGCCATCGAGTCGGTTCCGACCCATAGCGACCCTGTATAGGGTTTCCGAGGGTGTAAATCTTTATGGGAGTAGAAAGCCTCGTTTTCTCCCGCGGAGCAGCTGGTAGTTTCAAACTGCTGACCTTAAGGTTTGCAGCCCGATTCATAACCACTATGCTACCAGCGATATAATTGAGTAACCACCACCTGCCTGTCATTTTAGCACCACTCTGCTACGACATTGGAAGCTATGCTGGTATAGCAGCAGGGTCACAGATTTCACTGGTACTTCCAGACTAAGACACATTAGGAAGAAATGCCTGAGGATCTTCATTTAAAAATCAGCCCATAAGGACCCTAAGGATCACAGCAGAGCACAGTAATACCATCTGACGTAGTCCTGGAAGATGAGCCCCTTGAGGTTGGAAGGCACACAACAAACTCCATCCAGCAGAGCAACCATCCTGAAGATGAAGCGGGGCCCGGCAGGGTTTCTCTCCATTACATGAGGGGGAGCTGACTTTATGGCAGCCAACAACAAAATTGGGTAATACTTAGGATGTTAAACAATATCTTGAAAAAGAAGTGAGTAGAAAGGCATCCCTAGTAGATTGCCGATGATCCTGTGTAACGCAGCACTAAATAAAGTGGTCAGCTGCCCTAGAAAGCAAGCTTTGGAAGACCAGAGGGAAAGAGGATTTGTTGGAGGTGGGTGGAGGGTTCTGCCCTCCCATTTCGATGGTCACATGGCTGGCTGACCACCATTCTGGCTGAGGCATTAGCATCTCCATGTTTCTGTTCCACTCCCTTACTGGATGCTGTGTTATTTTGCTCTGTATTTGCAGGTCCAAGCCTTGTCATCTGCCAGTAAGTTTGAAGCTGAGTTAAAGGCTGAGCAAGATGAGCGGAAGCGGGAGGAAGAGGAGAGGAGGGTCCGTCGTGCAGCATTTCAGGAGCTCAAGGCAGCTTTCAGTACCTAGTCCTGCCCACCTTGACCTTGCCCTCTATCCACAGCTGTGCCTTACAGATGCCCTTGGGAGGGATGGCCGTGCCCCTTCACCCCAGTGGGCCCACCTTGCACTCCACACCCATCCATTGTCCAATGCAAACTCCTTAGACAACCTCATGGTGGCAAAGTCTCTCTTCCCGGTGTTGGAGCCCCCACCCCAGATGGTTCTGGGAAGACCAAATGCCTTGCTTGACTCTCTTCTGTCTTCCTCTGCCCTTCTCTTGCCTCTTTCTGGCAACCTGGGCTTTTCCCTGGTCCCTTTACCAATCTACACCATTTGAACAAATGTGCTTGCGCTCATTTGTACAAATGGCTTTTTCCTTTTGTGATCCTCAGAGTAGGTCATGGTCTATGGTTTCTACGTTGCTCATTTTCTCAGAGAATTCCCCTCACGCCTCGCCCTTAGTTTCCCATCCAGTTTCCTTGTTCTCAATCTTAGCTTGATTCGGCCAATGGTTTGGCCTCTTCTTTTCCTTTCCTGCTAGGTTTAAGGAAAGCCAGAGTGGACCACTCTCTCTCTAACAGAAGGTGTAGCTTAATACTGAGATGGCACAAAATAGAGAAAAGATAAGAAGTTTGATTCTACCCCTCCAACCTTCCTCCTGCCCCCCTGAGATATTTTTCCAACTTTAACTGCTATGCTGCTTAACCGTAAGAATGAAGAATTCTTATTCAACTATAACACTATGCACATTACATCCTAGTGGACCCCTGACATTCCAAAGTCCAGGACTTCCCCAGATCCCACAAGCCATGACCTGCTCAGAGTCTAGCCAGTTTCCAACATGTGCTCCAAGGTTTTGAGAAGATTACCGTCACTATACACTGTCAATTTTTATATATACAATGTTGTGCGCTCTTGGCTTTGCTCACCAATACCAGGGGTCTACTGTATTTTAAAAGAAACAGTAATTCCTCATGTACTATTTATTCTCTTTCGTAGCTGCTGTCTTTTCAGTAAAGGAACATTCTACTTTACGGCCGTTTTTTGTTCAATAAACTGCAAATGGACTTTGTTACCACATCAGTGTATAGCTAATCTTCTTTGAATTGGGGGAGAGGGAAGTTTTTCCTTAGGGGCCATTCTAACCCATTGTTAATGATGTAGAGTTGACTAACTCCTAGCGACTGTACACAAACATGAACACAATCTTGCTTGGTTCTGTACCAACCCGTTGTGACAACCACTGTGTCAATCAGTCTCATTGAGGGTCTTCCTCGTTTTCACTGACCCTCTGCTGTACCAAGCAGGATGTCCTCCTCCAGCGATTAGTCTTGTCTCTCTCACTCTCTTTTTTATTATTTTTTTTTAAGTTGGAATCATTTTTAATATTTAAATACAAAAAAGGGAACATAGACTGATTTTTACAAGCACACATAGGTTTAACAACCAAAATGCACAGAGGAACCAAGTCCCTCCATCCCTCAGTCTCCACCCTGTTGTCCAGGCTGCTGCCGCCCCCAGCCCCAAGCCCCCAGCACAGTGAATGCTTTGCACCACAGCTGGGATGCATTGAATCTTTTTTGTTTTGTTTTGTTTTGTTTTTTAATGTTTTATTGTGAATTATGTGATAGTTTACATGGGAGAACATTAGTTTTACATTCATTCTATTGTATATCGTTTCGTAGCTATGGTTACAATCCCCTCCATGCATCATCAGCCAACCAAAGGGTGTACCCTACAAGCCTGCCCCCTGGTCATCAGCATACAGCCCCTCTCCTTCTCTGTGTCTAAAGTCCCCAACCGCTCCATCTCTCCACGTCATCGTCTCTGCCTCCATCTCAGGCATCACTGCTTCTCTGGGTAGGGTCCTGCTCTCCACTCTTCTCCCTTGATGGTCCCAGGGACCTCCACTCCTAGGCTGAAAAGTTAATCACTCCCTTCCTTGCTACAAAGTGTCTACCTTTACAAGTCCAACCCTCACAAGCAGTCCTGATAACCATTATTCACTATTGTATCACAAGAGACGCATCCGCATTTCATTTCATCAGCCCCGCCTAGACAGATTGGATACTACTCAGTGGAGATTCTACCTTCTTCCATGCCCCCTGAATCCAGGTTCCCTCACTGCATCTGTTTTGTATTGTGCACATCCCTCCCCAACCTCCCCATTCTGTCTTTTTTTTTTAATGGTCGGGTACATCCTTTCCACCAGCATCAGCTGCCACCTCACAAATTCACAATAGAAGGGAGTCTTCTAGAACAATGAGGACAATTTAGTGAGAGGCTGGGTTGGTAAGTAACTGTGCTGCTGCACTCTGGTTTCCAAGTGAAGTCAGAAGCAATGTTAGCATGGAGGGAAGGACACAGTTGCAAGCTGGGAGTTTGAGACAAAGGAGGAATAATTGAGTTTTAGATCAATGTGCCAAAGTTAAAAAGAAATCCAAATAATCAGTTCAAACACTACTGAATTTCAAACTTCTCCCACCAAGGCAGCTCAAATACAGTGGTAAGGATCTAGATCTTTCCAGGAACTGAAGTAGAGACCCTGGCATTCTTCCTGAGGGTCCTCGGTTGGGCCCTAGAAGTATCTGCTGCAGTTACAGTTGCCGGTGTTCTGTCTGTAACTTTTCCATCTCAAAGACATCAGGAAGAATCAGGATCATAAAGGAATTGGTCCCAATCCATAAAGCTGCTCTGGAAAACCCACACATTGTTTGAGCCATAAAGAGGGAGAGATCAAAAGTGGCTCCCACTGTGGACCAGACCCTCTGCGAGAACATCTCTGACAGACCCCATTCTCTACAACAGGATCTCAGCCATCTCCTTGTCATCCTCTTCCAGCTCCCCCTCAGTCTTCTAGGACATCACCTTTTGGGAGCAATTTGTCCCGAGACACTGGTGCCCCAGCCAGGGCTGTCTGCAGTGGTGGAGAGCCACCGTGGCTATAGGGGACACTGGAAGGCAGCATTGGTCTCTCTTGAAGATGTGCCCAAAGTTTCACCATCCTTGTCCCTGAGGAGCATTCTGACTTGGCTTCTTCCAAGACAGATGTGTTCATTCTTCTGGTATTCCATGGTAGATATTCAATATTCTTCACCGACACCATAATACAAATAAACCAATTCTTCTTCAATTGGTCTTATTCATTGTCTGCCTTTCATATGCAAAGGAGGTGATTGAAAATACCAAAACTTAAAAAACAGAGGGACTAGAAGCAAATACATGATGATACATGGAGGGGATTGTAATTATTGCAATGAAATTAAATATGATAGGATGAGTTTAAAATCAATGTTCTCCCATGTAAACTATCACTTGATTCATAATAAAAACTTAAAAAAAAAAAAAGAAAGTACCATGGCTTGGGCAGGTGCACCTTTGTCCCCAAAGTGACACCTTTCGAACAGATTTTTAGTCGATTTGCCCATTGCAATACATCATGTCATTCCCAGGCTACTTCCATGGGCGTTGGTTGTGGTCTAAGTAAAATGAAATCCATGATGACGCCAATATTTTCTCTGTTTATCATGCTGTGGCTTATTGGTTAAGTCCCTGAAGAATAGTTTGAAATGGTAACTACAGGGTTCTGGTCCACTTTGCCAGCTGCTGTGCCCCTTCCTTCAGAGAGGATGCTCTTTGAGGTAAAATCCGTTGCTTAATATCCTTTTGCTTCCTGGAGCCCTTTGAGAGGCTGGTGAGGACCAATGACCCCTCCCTTCCACATAGAATTTCAGAGTATTTGGAGGAACCAGAGTAAGAACTCAAGTTCTAAAAGTACATCCGTAGTTTCCTGAAGAGGATCATTCTTCCCAAACTCACAGCCTAAGGCATCCCTTACTCTAGTTCAGGTCACCTTCCAACCTCTGCCTCCACCAGAAAAGACACATGGAAAAGGATAACACTGCAATGACTCTAAGCATTCACTGGCCTTACAGGATTGGCTTTGGACCAGGAGGCCAAGTAGGAGTGGAAAGTCTTGGTGCAAAGGAGAGAACATGTAATGCAAAGTGCTCAAGGCAGAAAACCCCAGCATTGGACCAAGTAATTACGAAGATCAGAGAAAGGATTTCTTTGCTTCCTCTTGGTCACAAAGTCTAGCCGATGTTGTACCTTTCCATGCCTCTCACTCTCAGCCCCATCTTCCATCTCCTTGGCCACGGTCAATGTTCAGGTCCCTACAGGGGCCTCTAAGCTGATTTCTCTGCCTTCTTGTGTCCCAATGTGTCCCCCTACAACTAGAATTAGAAACCTGTCCCTAACATGCTCCTTGAAACTGTTGGCTCCCCACTTTCAGGTTCTGTCCCCTGCTCACCTCCGCTGCCCTAGCTCTTACCCATTCTACTTGCCCTGTGTGCCTCCAAACTATGCCCCAGGTATACCCAGTACGGTTCCTGGAAAGGGCCACACCTCCAGGCTTCTGCACACTGTTTCCTCTGCCTGGCTCCTCCTCCCTCTTGCTGGCCAATTACTTCTCATTTACGACTCAGTTCAAAGGTTAGCTTCAGGGAAGTTTCTTGATGCCAGCAGGCTAGGTGAGTTACCCCTTCTCAAGTACCTGTTTCACCCTGAATCTAGTGGGATCTTTTGGCATTCTACAGTGTCTTCTTTATGGGTCTGCCTATCCCTGTAGACTCCAAAGTCAAGGACAGGAATCCTGCCTTACCGACTGCTACAAAATCAAACCCACAGCCAGCAAGTTCATTCCAACTCACAGCAACCCTGTCAGACAAAGTAGAACTGCTACTCTGAGTTTTCAAGACTACACAGTTCTTAACAAAAGTAGACAGCCTTATCTTTCTCCGTGGAGCAGCTGGGGGCTTCAAACCATCGACCTCTCAGTTCATGCCACCCTTAACCACCTAAAGCCCAACACTTAACTCCCTGCTATAGTCTAGCACAGAGTCCTGATGGGGTGCTGTGGGCTAATGCATCAGGCTGCAAAGTCGTTTGAACTGCAAGGTCAGTGGTTCAAGCTCACCAGCTGCTCCTTGGAAACCCTACACAGGGTTGCTATGGGTCGGCATTGA